TCTGTTCCGGTATGCAACTGTGTTGAGAGTTCAGACTTTCAACGTCTCTAAATAATCTCAACTCTCTTCTTGTGTTATGAGTACGAGGCACGTTTCTTAATCATGCAACGTATTGCTTACCGCGCGTCAGCCAAAACTCAGTCTACAACAGCTGTGCCCGATGAGCAGTTGCGAACTTTTGGTAAATAGTAAAATTAATATCGGAAAGAAAAAGAAAAACAATCACGATTGTATGGAGAATTTTGTTAAAATTCACAATTAAGACCATCCATGTGTATCCACAATTAGGTGGTTTGTGGGGGGGGGGGGGGGGGGGGGGGCCCCCCATTTTTTTCACAAAAAAATAAAATTTTAATAACCCCCCCCCCCCCCTTATTTTTTTACCCTACCCCTATGTACGTAAAATGAGCTTTCACCCGCAACCCAAAATAAATAAATGTATGATTAAATACATACATGTATATAGTCTACATTTATAGACAAATAAATACATGTACATAAATTCATAAACAATATTATGTACACGACAATAAGTAGAAGACGATTTCACTTTTCTAAAAACTTAACCACCACTGTTTGTCATGCACAATATTTTAAATTTAAAATACAAATGTATTGCACATATTTTAAGATGTATCATACAATCAGTGGCATGGGAACGGGGTGGATTTGGGGGGAGGGGGGAGGTCCGCCCCAAGTGAGGGGGGGTCCGCCCCAAGTGAGGGGGGGTCCGCCCCAAGTGAGGGGGGGTCCGCCCCAAGTGAGGGGGGGAGGTCCGCCCCAAGTGAGGGGGTGAGGTCCTCCCCAAGTGAGGGGGGAGGTCCGCCCCAAGTGACACTTTCTTTCTTTATATGGAGAGGCGGCTTTTAGGAAAACTGCGGAGTTCAAAAGTGTGCTTTAGACCTCATTGACGCAAAAAATAATAATAATTTTTTAAAATGTGTTTAAATGTATTAATAGTTAAAAACAAAATTGAGAACTACAACTAGTCTAACAGAAGTCAGGATCTAGCCATTTAATAGAGATAAACTTTAAAAATAGTATCTTTACAAGAATCCATTGTTATTTTATGCATTTAATTGTAAGTAAGATTCTTTTATCATCCAAGTAAATGGAATGTTTTTTTAAAATAAAAATTACACTACATTGTAGGCCTACATATTAATTTTAATCACATAAATACATACATATTTTAACCAAGAAAACATTTTAAAATATTTTAGTATAAGTTCAATAATTTCTTTAATATTAAAATGATATTTGTAATTTATGCCGCCCCCCCCCCCGGCATTTGTTTCCCAAAACATGGTTTCGTTAGGTCTTATAGTTAATCCACCACTGCGATTATGACATGGTTTCCTTAGGTCTTATAGTTAATCCACCACTGCGATTCTGTCTTTGAACGTTATCATGTATTTGCAATCGAATTTTCTTTGGTATGCTGAATGTAGGTTTAAGGGCGTTTTGGGCTCTGGGTGCAGTCAACATGGGGACACACATAGATTTCTATGTAGTGTTCATAGATAATGACTGTAGTACGCCCGGGTTGACGCCCTTTGAACCGCATGGACTTAACGACAGAACATGTTGTACGATTAAAATAATAAAGGAGACGTAATAAAACTAGAAACATGTTACCCCTTCAATGTTTGTATTTTTAAAATTTTTTTTTTTGGCTGCGACTATTCGTATCCGGGTACCAGAAGTGAGAGGTTGGGATTAAAAAAATCTATTTAAAATATTATTGGGTTTGTAAGACAAAATGAGGTATCAAATGAAAGATAATTGAATGGACTATATGCTTGTAAACTTCCTTCTTCAGTTTAACTAAAATAAACTACCACAAATGACATCCGAATAGCTTGAGTCTAACTAATGGTACCCGGGTGCGAATGGTGGCGCTGCGTGTCGGAATGAAGTAGCCGAGGCAACGATGAGTGGCGTCTACTCTGGAATCCAATCACGCATTTTGATAAAAGTGCCAAACGCTTTATTTATACGTTCATTGTGTTGCATATAAAATATCAGTGCGTTTTCTTTGTTTACTTTTAAGCAACTGTTGGTTTAGAGGTGGGGGCCGGCCATAGGTGGACTGGGGAGTTCAAGCGGCCCGGGAAAAAATCAAAGCGGCCCTATCTTCATGACTTTTATTTTTATTATATCACCGGTCCTACGGCCCATCGGGAATTTTCCCGGTGTCCCGGTCCACCCCTGGGGCCAGCATATAAAGTTGCTGTGATGCCCTTGGTGAGATAGCTACGCCACTGAACGAAATAAATATGTCATCATTACTTACTGAGCGCATAGGGGACACCATTACTGTTAGCCTACTGCGGAATTAAAATTGTCGCTAGGCCAAATATCACGGTTGTGATCTCTAGCGAGTTCATTTCTGAAAACACGCAGCAAATGTACGACGATAAAGACGAAACATATTAAACTGATCAGCTTAATTTTGTATAGCCTTTGAAATAAAAATAATCAGAAGTCATGGATCTTATTTCACAGATTTTTAAGATACCGATTGTTACATGAGAGATATAAATAGGCTATAAATAGACTGTCCGCATATCACGGAAATTATGGCAGAATTTACGCATAAATATACCCACAAATTATGCCGATACCCCCCTCCTATACATACATACACACACACAAATCTCCAAACTCACCACTCTCGCCTTCAGTGCGTACGTAATATATGGGTGGCCCACTACATCATTATGATTATTTCAACCAATATTTAATGTGAAATCGGCCATTCATTTGCCTGAGCCAAGGCACAAATCTGTTTTTATTAAGAAGCCACCGCAGACACACTATGAGAGCATCTAACTGAATTTTATATGCCAATTGTTAATGGGTAACAGCATAAGTAAACATTATAAGGGCAGCATGAAGGTGCAGAGGCGTAGTGAACGGGGGCGGGGGGCAGATGTCCCTGGGCGCCAGCCAGTTAGGGGCGCCAAAATGTGCTTGGATATTATTTTATTGATGAAAATAATCGGTTTGAGACTTTAAAAAGAGAAAAGGGGGCACTTTAATTTACTTTAAAATGAACTTTGTCCCTGGGCATCAAACACTCTAGCTACGCCTCTGTGAAGGTGACACCCATCCAGGCGAGATCTACAGAGTACTCTTAAGTTCATCACCTAAATTCAAAATATTTGTATTAATATACTTGGGGAAAAGGGCGGCCAAATTTGTCAAGACAAGGTTTTTTCCCCAACTTGCTCATTGGCCATAGACAACACAGGACAATATTTAGTTTTTTGAGAAATAAAAAAACCCAAAAGCTTTGCTAGCTATATGTACAGAGATAAATTGTATTACAGCAATTTTAAAACAATTACACATTTTTAGTTTTTTTGTTTTTTTACCTCAGTTCGCAGTAATATAAACAATTAAAGAAAAGATTGTTCAAGAATGAATGTTAACTTAATTAAATCTTGAATTTTTGTTTAACCCAAACAACACCCCCTATAAATGAAATATTGCTTTCAAACACTGTACCGTAATATATTAGTTTCATATTGCCAGATTTAAAGAGGTATGGCACAAAACATTTTCTATCAAAGGAAGAAAGAAAAAAAATTTGAAAAAAAAAAAAAAAAAAAAAAATTTAAAAAAAAAAAAAAAAAAAAAAAAAATTTAAAAAAAAAAAAAAAAAAAAAAAAGTTTGCCTTTTTATATATACAAACAAAGGGAAATTATTGTAGAGCTTGTTGCATAATAATAGTAATTACATTGATCTATCTGATCAATGAATGCAATATATCTTGACACAGGATAAGCCAATGATTAAATCTTTAAATTCAGAAATCAGCAAAGTATGTTTATATATCATAACAATGAGTTTACAATGACAAGAATTTTGAATGCTTTTTGACAGTCACAAAAAAGTTTTAGAAAAAAAATAATCATATCTATAACTTGTGTAACATTATAGATTTTCATGGAATTTTTAATGTAAATCTTCAAAAGTAATATTACTGATAGACAGTTCTTGGTATTGCTCCCTTTCCAGGATTTTCAAACCTTTTCTACGTTCTGCACCCTTATACTATGAGAATGTTTTGAACAGGTATTGCACACCCCTCCCCCCAAAAAGTAACTATTCAACTGGTATTTTGATATTCATAATAACTTTTCCTCACACTCCCTGAAATACCACTTTGAATCCACAGGAGGTCAGAGCAAGCCAGGTTGGAAAACCTTGCTTTAAGCATTGCAAAACAGACAATGTGAAAAAGGCATTACCATATTGTCATACTTAGTGCAGTATCAAGATTCACTTGAATAAGCTCAGGCATCTTAAAAATTTAATGCAGTAGAAATCTGACTAAATTCTCTGCCAGCTTAAGATTTTTAAAAAAAAAGAAAAGAAGACATATGGGCCCTATTAAAGAATTTTCAATATATTTACAATTTTTAAGAATGATATCATATGAAGGTGAAATTTAACTGATATGTTAAAACCAAATATACATATACTTTAACCAAAGTATTGATGAGATTTCTCACTTTTTCTTCGTGGGTCACATTTAACTATTAGTTAGAAACTGGTTGACAGCCACTGACTTATTGTAATGAGCATACAAAATCATCTAAGGAGCATAACAAGTGATAAACATCTGAGAAGCTTCATTCAAGTAAAAACATTACTATAACAAAATATTACTGTCATTATTTGTAAAATAATTCCAACAAACTCAATGAAGTTTCCACTGAATTATCTATATCTACTGATGATAAAGGATATGTAAAATATTTATACATGAGATCTATTTTAAATTGCCATTTACAATACCCTTATTCAACTAGTACTTTGTTTAGATGAATATGAGTTTAATGTAGATAATGTAATTGAGGATCACAATCCCCTTTTGAAAACGAATGCTGTGTAATATTAGTGATCTTATCATGAGATTTCAAACGATAGAGCGTATTGCCTCCTAAAAATACTAATTCCCTCATGCTCCTGTATGTTGCACTGCATACCACCTAATTCTGATATCTGCTCATTCAGGGCATATATTGCTATTCAGCTTCATGTATCAAAGTTTTTTAAATAACATTTATTTAACATTTTCTATTTTTACACTTAATACAAATTAAAACAACAATGAATTCAATTTGTTAATATTCTATTTATTTTTAAAAAATGTAATTTCTGAGGTGTACCGCTAAACAAAAAAATCCTTTGTAGCTCATTAAAAATGTTCTGTATTTTAAAAAACTTCAACCACTAGACATGTTTATGATGAGGTTAGAGTTGCACAGGGTTAAACATTTTAATGAACAGGATCTTTCTAAATGGCATAAACAGTAGTTTTTAAATAAGATTATCCTTCAGTGGCCGTGTATCAAGAAACAATTTCAGATTTGACAAATGCCTCAGGAGGAATCCTGCCTTGGTTCTGATCAAATTTTAAGAAGAAAAAAAAAAAAAATCTAAGTTAAAGATACATTTTATAATATAAATGCACTGGATACTGTCAAATATTGACTTTACTTATAAAGTCAATTAAATATCCATTTTATTTATAACACTTAATTTTATTAAAGATTTTCATTCTAACTTTAGTTTAAGTGAAGATATTGTGTAGTTTGGATTAAGTTCAACTCTTTCATCTTTTCACTTACACTCATAATAGTTTTGATAAAATAGGGTATGTTTTGTGCTTAAACTTGCTGTGAAAATAAAAAATTTAATCCAATTACACTTGGAGGTTAAAAGAAAATTATACTTACATTTAAATCTGTGAATACTTGACCAGCTTTTAGATAATCCCAGTTATTTTCCTCCAGGCACCTAGTATGCAAAGAAAGAACAAAAAAAAGTTTTAAAAGTGAAACCAAATATTTAAGATTGTATCATTTGCATATCTACAGATTCTGTAAGTTAAGGAACAGCATTGCAAAATGCAAGCTATAAAATAGCAATTCAATACTAAAATGCACATGGCTTACTTTAGTGAAAACTCGGGGTTCAAATTAGACTGGGCATTGCAAAATGCAAGCTATAAAATAAAAATTCAATACTAAAATGCATGTGGCTTACTTTAGTGAAAACTCTGGGTTCATATTAGACTGGGCAACAAAGTTCTCTAGCATGTGCATTTTTTCTGGTGACAAAAATGGAGCCGGAGGTCTCGCTGCATTCTGAGAAGTACTTGGGCCTGCCGAGTACTGACTACTTGACACTGGGCTAGATGATGGTGTTGGGGCAGCTTCTTTGAATGCATTCTGAAGCAAAAGAATTGAATAATAATGAAATGAAATATTAAAAATTTCTATTTTCACCAATCTATGTTTCAATTACGAAGTGCTTCCAATAACATTTTTACTTAAGTAACTTCTAAATTACTTACCCTGGTTTGTTCAATTCCAGCGTTTGAAATGGTTAACATATCATTTGTTATTACCATCCTAGGGAAAGTGAGTAAATAGGTTTTAGCTATCAGTAAACTTTAGGAAAAATACTGCATATATATATATATATATATATATATTTTATATATATATATATATAAACAACTTTTTAATATTTTTACTACCATATATAAGAGATGAACCTTCCACACTGGTCTGGTAAAACTTAACAATAAACAGAACTACCCTTTAATTAACTCATTAACTAATTTTAAAGTCTACTTAAAACAGAAATATTGATAGTTTTAGAGAAATAATTTAGCAGTAACTGAGACATCAAAATAATTTTAAAATGTTCAGATTACCCAGGACCAGATGGAACTGTGATGAAGGATCTACAAAAGGATCGAATCAATGGCTTGTCAGATCGGGCATCAACTGTTGGAAAAATAAATATATATGACATTTCTTTTTAAGGTGTTATGAAAATGTTATTAGATTAAAAAAATAATAAATAGCGTAATATTAAAACAAGATGATTAGAAAATAAAATTATTTGAGACAGAAATAGAGAAGACTTTCATTTAGATTTTAAATCATATATTCTTCATTTCATTAAAATTTTTTCCAACATCTGTATGAATTAACCCACTATTACATACTTTTGCCCAGGCAAAGGGGCATAACTCTTTAAAAAAACAAAAGTTCTTATGGCAATATTACAAAAATGAACTAAATTTAATAATCAAGATTAAAAATATGGTCATATATTTTAGTATAAGAATAGCCTTTCAAACAAAGAATCTGAAATTACATATCTGTATATTTCCAGAAGTTCATTGTGATCACTATGGTCAAGGTTGCCTGCCATTAAGCACCATGTACCCATGTAATAGAACTAATTTTCAAGCTCCATTCTGAGTTATCATTAGACTTAGATTATCATCATCACTTTCTCAATTTCTGTATCACTTTCAATAGACTTTTCATCCAACTTTTATATTGTTTCATCATCTAAGCTTGCTAGTAAACTTTGCTTGAGCACAGATAGCCATGCTGAACTTCCCACTCTTGTAATTTAATGACAAAATAAGTTAAAAACATTGTTTTTTTTTAATAAAGAAGTTTGTGTTCTCAAGACATTAAAATTTGCAGTTGTTTTTGTTATGTAGTTAGGGGCACAGAACAAGCATATTGCAGATGCAGAGAAAGTCAGAAAGATGGGCGGAGGTGTGTGTGAATTTCGTAAGGCAAAAAACAGTGTTTCAGGTGGGAATGGGTTGGTTGGTGAACATGAGTAGTTTTATTTATGCCAAAATGATAATTCTATAGAATTTAAAAAACTTGTAACATTGGTTTGTTTTTATAAATGTATTAGTGAATTATATACACCAACGTCATGTATTCAAACAATCTTTACTTACTCTCTTTAAATACACCTTGCAGGATGAAGCATAACATTGTTGGCTAGAATGAAGGGTAAAACAATATAATTTTATTAATATACAGGAATGAAAGTATTTTGACAATCAAAGTGTTTGCTTGGCATCCTAAATTTTCAACAAGTGCCTCTGTATTTTCAATTTAAAATTTTACCCCTGATCAAATGGAATGAAATGTTACCAGTGGCTAAACAAGATACATACTGTTGCTGTACAGACATCCACTTTGAAAGAGTTGACATCATGTGTTGTTTTTGGAAGGTTCTCCAAAGTAGAGATAACAGAAAGAACTCCAGTTTTGATTTTCTTAGCCAATTTTTCTATATAATAAATCAATAATACTATATGAAACTACAAAGCAATTTAATTGAAAGTTGACTAGAATAAATGGTTCAAATAGATTTTTAAAAGTAAGAGAAAATTAAAGCCAGTGAAATCTTTAATTTTTTTTTTCTAAACAAGACCAATTAATTAAACAAGTAAATATGAACGTTTTCTGTCACCTGCGTCAAAATGGCCAATCTTTTTTAAATTGCGACTGTCATCGTAATAGGACTTGAAGCCAATTTGCCTAAAGTAAAGAGAAAGGTTGAAAAACAAACACATAAAATGGAATTTTTAAAAAAATTTGAAAAAGAAATCATTTAACTGTAAAGTTAAAGAGACGTGCCATGTAAGTAAGGGATTTGACAAGTTTGGGAGCTTGACACAAATTGTAATATGGATTTTAGGTGTGGGCTGGTTACCCTTCCCCAATAATAGAAACATTTCCCTCATATTCACCAAAGAAAATCTGGCAACATAGATGTTTGTCCCCATGAGGTTCACAGTATAGCAATTTTCACAAAGTATACATATATAGGGGTAATGTTGAGGTTTGCACCTCTTCCCACTGTTTAATTATGTTTTCAGTGATTTGACAAGTAACTTTGCAGCGTAAGTATTTACAGTACATAAAATATACTTTATTAAACATATTAATATTATACTATGTATTTCTATAAATGTCATACGCACCTTTCCAGGAGAGGGTTATTTACAGAACATATGGAAAACTGAGCCTGCAAAAAATGAATTAAAAATAGTATTTGTAAAATCGCAAGACACTTGCACATGAGACTTGTTTTGCACAGCAGTTTTGTGGGCGGAAGAAGCAGGGATAATTTTAGGAAGTTGAGCAGACATCTTAGACCAGGGTAGACATATATATTAATGAATGTCTAATAAGTGATCCTATATATTTTGGAGCTGCATATCATATTATATTACTGCTATTATTACTTCTGTTATTCCAGTGATTATTTATTGAGTTCCATGTAAATAAAGTATATCGTTTGCGACACTGGAATTCATATTTTTAATATGAAGAAGTGGCAGCAATAGTTACTTATTTATTATTTAGATAACTCTCAGAAGTTATGAACCAACTCACAGGAGGAACGGTTACACTGGTGTAAGAATGGTTACAATATTTCAAAAATGAAAGACACATATATAAATATTTAAAACTTCAATAAAACATTGTTTACATATTAATATCTGATATCATGGATTTAACTGAATACAAAAGTATCTGTTAATGTTATCTCCAAGCCAGTGGACATACTTTTAATAAAGAATTATTTAGCAAATACACATCTAAGACTAGCAGTAAAGTTGATTTAATGTTAATTAGTTTATTAAATTAGGCTTCTTACATTGTCATGATAAGCTGGCATTAACTCCTTCCTTCTATCCGAGTCATAGATAGAGTAATATTCTTTGATGAAGGTGACCACCAAACCTTTGATGTCATCATTAATAAAGTAACTTTCCTGTTGAAATATATTTATAGTGAGAATACTCTTGAACAAACTATTTTGTTTTAGTATAAAACATAATGTAATTTTATACATAATGTATATTATAAACTATATCAGTTTCCATGTACCCTAAATAAATGTCTCATGGTACTGACCTTGCATGGTGGAAGAACTAAGTTTGTCTCCAGGTCAAATGTTATTGGTGGGGGATAATCTGTACCATCCTTTAAAAAAATTTAGAAATTTCTACTTTAAACTATTGTGTAAATCCTCAAATCATCCCAACTTGATTTAGAAATTAGATTTTAAATAACTTTAAATTAACAGATTTATTGGAAAAATTCCAAGAAAAATGAAAAAGAGAAGAAGAAAATTCTTTTGTCTCAGCTTACTTACCAGTTTCACAACTTTTGGAAATGTTTTTCGAACCGCGCTAGTGTTATAAAAATATAAGATGATATTATGTTAGAATGTATAATTACTACCATAAAACTAAGAAAGTCATGCTACTTTATAAAATACCTAAGCTGCCAAATTTGTCAATAAATATCCTATCCTTATTTAAAATGCATCATAATTTATTTTAAGAAATATTAATTTTCTAGTCTACATCATTTAAAAAAATTTTAAAAAAGCGATGAAATTCTCAAGCTACAACGCTCTGGAGATTGTATGATGCTGCTGCCCAGGCAATTACAATACTTGACATAGCTTGGAAAGACTCTCACTACCAGTGCCTATCTACTTAAAACTGGTAGTTTAGCTACTTCTAAATTTTCATCTAAAACCATTTGTTAGTTTTTTTTTGAAAAATTAGTTTATGGTGGAGGCCACAGAATCCTTACAATGGCATATGACTGTGTCAGCGGTTATTACGACCAAGTCAAGAGGTAATTAGGACAAAGTTTGTTTTTTTAAATTTGCATCAGAGTACAGAAACAAAAACAAAAAAAGAAAATTAAATGCTGTCTGCGACTTTAAATTTTTAAAAAGTATTATATCAGATCACCTTATTCTGCTTTTAAGTTTTTAATTATTTTTTTTTTCTATGCCAATTACATCTGTAATGTTATTTTTAAAAAGGTGTTCCCACAAATATACAAATTTATATTTATATTACAAATGTTATAAAGTCTTATTAAGAAAAAGACACCTTAACACAAAAATTTTCAAAACACATTTATTTCAACACAGTTGATCAATAACAAAAACAATCACATTTAATTATGTTAGATGATGATCTAACATATATAATCTTAAAACTACAATCTAATTGTCTCCTTTTAAAGAAAGGAGATAGAGCTTATAGTACTGCAAAATTATAAATTAGCAAATCAGCATGGGCTGATCTTTTAACTTTAACATCTCTATTACAACCTCCTTGGCGTAGAATGGCCCTTTGAAACAAATAAGTTATGAAAAATAAATATTATCACTTAAAAGCAACTGTTTCTTTAAAGAATATTGATATTAAATTAAGAGAAAAAATGGCCTGAAATAAAATGTTAGTTCTGCTACTGAAAAAGAAAGGTTAAAAGGACTTTATAACTTGTGTATACTAGAGGAGAGGATCTCTTAAAATTGTTTGATTATGAAATTACTTAGTTCTGCCCCCACATCTTATCAGTTCTGCACCCACATCTGATCCACTTATTAACAAGCTGAGGTAAATAGAAAATATTTTTATTACATTTCTTTTTTTTTTATTAAAGCCTAAGTAGCCACAAAAGGCCCAATGTTTTCATAAGATTTAGTTTTATGCTAATGACAGACTGTAAATAGATAAACAGATATTACATCTCTTTCTTTGAAATAGCCATGAGTAGAGAATATATAGCAGCAAGGTCAAGGTAATCAGTCAGACTCAAATCGATGGCTTAAAATAGATGGCCTTAATAGTTTGTGACAATGGTTTCTGTGCAACCATTTATGCTTTTAAGAATAAGCGCTTATGCTGGAGAAAAAAACTCTTCTCCATAAAAATTCCTCTTTGTGCAACAAACTATCATATGACAATGATGACAATATTAGTTTTGTTGTAAATGCATTAAAGTGAGGAATCTTGACACACAATTTATCTAAAATTACCTTCATTGGTCTGCAGAGTACAGAACAATGAGAGAAATTTCGACACTTCTATATTGTGTGATTTTTCCATATAAATAATGCACAGTTTTTCTCACATGACCTTAACTGGGTGCATCACAGGCAAGGTCATGTTGATAGCTTTTTATATACAGTGCATCCTGGCCATCTGTTCACAGCAGCTTAATATTAGAAGGTAAGATATTCAAGCCACATTATCTTGACACATCAGTCTTCTGAATAACCAATGACTTTGCTGCTTTCAAGGATAACCCTTGTAAATAACAATTACATCAAGCTAATATTAACAAAGTTTTCATTAAAAAAACTTTTTGTTCGATTTAGGTTTTAAATTTGAAGCAGAAGTAGAAAAATCAGATAAGTAACTAGCACTATCTGATAGATGAGATATTATTTCGTAACAAAAGACTGAAACAGTATTTAAATTAACAATATGTGACAAAATTATATGCGTTTTATTTTCTAAAATAAAATTAAACGATGCTATAATCCTTCCTATTAATGTCTGGTTAGACTAGTGCATAAATGGACACTAATTCAACAGAGATATAATAAAATTTTGTTGGCAATAAAAAATTTCAATATTACAGGTAACTGTCCAAGCATACCGAAATAATCAAATTTAGATTTGATTATTGACCTGCATCTTTATTATGTACTTTTTAAAGCCAAGACAACATAAAAGACAATGCAAGGACTAAAAACATATTTTAAGATGCCTTTTTTCTTCGACCCCCCAACTATTCCTGTTTCTTTTATCCAACCACTTTTAAAAGACATAGCCTCATTTATAAAGCAGAATGCAAGTGACCTGAATAATTTAGGTTCAAAGTAAAACAGTTCTCAATGTTTCTATAAACTTGAAACCATTGTTGACAAGAAAGTCATAATGCAGCAGCCAAAATTCTCCTTTTTCTTTAAAATTCAAGTTAATTGTACAGTGGAATTTCTTCAAGGAAGGTGTTAGTTCACTGTTTCAATTCAACACACAATTCATACTTGCCTGGAGTACCATGAGTACACTGGTGTTACCTGATATAAGCCCCCTGGTTGGAGAAATTCTTGCACAGGTCATTTCCTTTCAGGACAACCTCAACAATGTTCTGCCACCCCTTCAGTTTATCCAGTTCATCAATTGAACGTAACTGATTTTCCCCAAGATTTAATGACTGAACATTTGGTGTAACTTTGACTAGATCTGTCAAGTGACCTAGGGACAACAGCTTGTTCTTGCTCACATCAAGACCAACCAACTAGAAAACAAACATTGTAAAATATTCTCAAATATGCGCATATTATTAAACAATTAATTGAAATTCAATTCATTTCTAGCTTTTGGCAACTTAAAACATTATTTCAAGAATAAAAAAAGGCAAAACCTAACCTCTGGTATGTTCTCTCCAATAATTTTGGTGACTGCTGCCATTGTTGAAGCTCTGTTAAGAGGTAAAAAAATGTTTTCTTGGGTGAGGACATCATCCGAAAACAAGGCACTCAAATTCAACACTTGTGTAGATGGGTCATACCTGTCACTCATACGGATCTAATGGACAGAGAAAAATGAATTTTATAGAGCAAAATGTATTAATTTCTCAACAATTTTGTTTTAAATGTGTTTTTGTAACCATAGGATAAATTATTATATTCATTACCCAGTTTCCCAACTTATTTGCTTAATCTATTTTCCAAACAAGAGAATATAACTCCAATTTTCATACATACTATATTTTGAATTGAGCTATTTGTTCATTAATTATATGAACCCATTTAATGAACTAAAGACATATGCACACAGAAAGGTGTAAGTAAAAAAAAAGTGACATTAATAGCTAGGAAAATAAAGGCATTTAACAAAAATTGTCAAGAGATATAAGACAAGTTGTAATAACAGGCATATAAATCAAAACAAAACAAGCTTTAAAACTTCTGGTTTTCCTCATATTGATACTAAGGAGGGGAGAGACTTTAATCACATTAGGCAGAAGAAAATCTGTGAAACAAGGAATGGGGAAAACCTGATAAAAAGACACAACAAAGCAATGAAAGTGTTGGCAAGATGCCTTCTTCAGTGAAAAAACAACGAGTAATACGAATATAAAATAAACACTTTGCTGGAATTTTTATCCTAGAGGACAGCAAGGGGAATGTAGACTATATTGCTTTTCTTCATAGCTGAAACAGACAGGAATGACTTAAGGTTTAACAAGCAGCCTGTACAAAATTACCTTTAACTTTTCAATGGTGGCTTTATCAACTACAGGATCCACTGGAGGTTGTGATGGAGAGACATGAAAAATAAGTAAATGACCATCTGGTTTCTTAATTCGACGACTAATGGCTCGAAGACTGTCTGCCATTTCCACTCCTTTAACAAAAAAATAAGCCCGTTTTTCATCTGTGGAGTACTAAAAAAAAAATGTCATTAAAATAATAAAACATGTTAGTTCATATAGCATAATCCCTGGAGGGATAGAAATGTATTCAATGTAAACTTAAATAACATTCTTTGGTGTTTTAATGTACTGAAAATTATTTAAAGTATGATATACAACTAATATTACCTTGATTGGATCAAAAGGCCCATCAATATTTGAGATTATCATTTTAAACAATTCATCTTGGGGTAGAGCTGCACCAAAGGGAATCATGATCTTGAACCATGACTCTGTCTTCCTATATGTGGCTGCTGCACTTTTTGCAGCTGGATCAAGCCCTCTATTGTTTCCTCCCCGCCCGCCACGATTGTTACCCCTTGCCCTTGATCTGTTATTACCATAGGGATTGCTGTAGATATATAATTATATAAATAAAGAATTTGAGTGCAATTGCTAATAATAATTACATATCTGATTTGCAACAAAATTTAGAGCTTATTCAAGAATTTGTATATCAGAAATGTAGCATAGGGTTACTCTGGTAGCATTATCCGCTTTTCTACCAAGAGATAGTGAGGTTCAAATTCATAAGCGGACATCATCAACTATGGAAAAATAGCAGCATAGAGTGGACTTTCAGCTTAGAAAGGTCACTATTCTTGGAAACCTCAAAAACTTAAGTCAGAAGACAGCAGCCATCTTGGCCTGTGATTTAAAATCCACTATGTGTGCTCTATCAACACACATGCACACAATAAAGATGAGTGTCATTATTAGAGTTTTTTTTTTATATAACTAAGTTTGATAACTGTTATTTAGAGTCAGTTAATACAGTCTTAAACTAAATTAATTAATAAGTGAATAAAAATTTGGGTTATAAATTAACATAGCTATAGTATTATATTTTACACATGTCCTCATCGGTAGATGAAAAAAAACTCATGGTAGGCTCCATCAACTGATGAGTTTGAGTATAAGATAAGACTTCACAACACCACAATAAAGTAAAAAAATAAACCCATTTAAACTTACAATCGACTGCCTTGACCTCTGCCACTTGAGTCTCCAGCCATGGAAACATCTCCATCCTCATCAACATTTTCCAGTCTGTTTCTGAATCTTGATGAACCGGCATTAAAATTTCTGTAACCACTTCTACGATTGTTTCTGCTCCCTCTATTCCCTCTTGGAGGTCCTCTATTGTAATTGGATCCCCGGTTCGAGACATTATTGTTCCATCTATCATCATGGTCTCCTAGAATTTCAACATAAGGTAAAACAGTAAAAGAAAATAAATATAATAATTTGGTCAACATCTCTAGGCCAAGCCTTTTACTTTTAGCTTGCTTATTTTAATAGACAGACCTAATCTACTAAAAATTAGCTCAATTCTATTCTTAAGGACCTACACTTTTTACGAATGATTGGCAACCCTGGGTCTAAATGTAATTGTACTGCTCATGTGTGACCAGTGTGTGTGACACCTTATAATTTTTTCCACCTTGTGAGTTTTCAAAAAAACATAAATTTTTCATTCATACTTTAATACTGACATTAGGCTATTCAGATTATAGTTTATTTTACCAATGAAGCAAATGTGTTAATTCAGTAGACTTAGTATTTAGTTAAGTCTATTGAAATCAGAAATTGATAGAAATAGGTCTAAGTAGTAAAGTTAATCTACCACTTGAGCATCGGTTGTGAAAAAAATCACTTTGTTCCGGTTTGAAGTGCTATTTGAACGGTTATTGTTTTTTATGACATATTCATTTCAGTGCATAGACTATATAAAGACAACATTTTTTAAAATAGAAAAACTTTAAAAAAAATAATTTATCACATCAAGTAGAAAATTTTTAACATTTTTAATATATGAAAAGAAATCAAGAGTTTGAGTTATATCATCTCCCTCGAAAATGATTATGGGACATGAACTCATGAAAATATGAAGGGAAAAGATCATGGCTTGAACCAAACTGTCTTTTCAGTTTGAATTTTGCGTGTATCCCCATATTTTCAATAGTCTTAGTCTTTAGGATTGACACAATTCTGTTGATGAGCAACAACAGATTGTTAGTAGATTCTGTGTTTGCCCATCAGTCTGATATAAGTGAGCCTGGAAGGATATATCTCTCTAGGAACTCTATGCACTCCTGTGATCTCACGTCAGTCTGGCATTGCAATGAGAAAACAGCGCCCACTCTCTCTTTCTATGCCACCGAAAACTCCACTATTCTATTATTGGACATCAATAAAATATTAACTATTTAAATACTAAATAGTACTTCAGATCAGAACAATAATATTTTCATATATATATATATATATATATATATATATATATATATATTCAAGGCTGAATAGGTAGATTTCCATAGTAAGGCCAAGGCACTAATTCAAGAAAAGACTCACATAATCTGGGCCCGCATCTAGGGGGGACAACCATGGCACTTGTCAGGGGCCTGAGCTAGATAAAGGCTATATTAACTATTTAAATACTAAATAGTACTTCAGATCAGAACAATAATATTTTCATATATATATATATATATATATATATATATATATATATATATTCAAGTCTGAATAGGTAGATTTCCATAGTAAGGCCAAGGCACTAATTCAAGAAAAGCCTCACATAATCTGGGCCCGCATCTAGGGGGGACAACCATGGCACTTGTCAGGGGCCTGAGCTAGATAAAGGCCCGCCCTTTTTTTAAAGTTTTTAAAATATATGCACATGTTTGAAACATGAAAGGGGCCCCAACTCTGTCAGCTGCCTGGGTAAATTTTGGGATAACGGTATGGGTTTTTGCCAAGAGTTGTCTCATCCTAAGCGCAATGACATAACTTTGGGGAATTCCAACACTAGACTTCGGGTGAAAGACCTGTTAATTGTGGGACCCGAACGATGTGTGTGATATTCACTCAGTGATAACATTCCTGCTCTTTATTGAGCATTACTTGTATTATAACGATACGGTTAATATGAAGTAAATTAAAATGAAATCTTCCATTAATTTGTATTAAGATTAAATTTACACCTTTCAAAAGAAAGGAAAAAAAGAAACACATCCTTTGCTTATTATATTATACCCCAAGACCCAACAACGGTGAAAATAAAAGACACGCACCAAAAGTGCTGTATTTTGATTACCGTATTTTCCGGCATATAAAGACGACTTTTAAACCAATGAAAATCTTTTCAAAAGTCGGGGGTCGTCTTATACGCCGGAGTTCGTCTTATAAGCTGGTATGATACAGCACAAACCCTATACTATATTAGTAATATATTTTAAAAGGAAAAGTATGGGGTCATCTTATACAACCAGTCGTCTTATATGCCAGAAGATATGGTAGTTGAAAATGAAAATACCTGTTTGTTAAAACTTCGGTAACGAAAGGGAGACTACCGCTTAAATTGCTTTGGAATTATCTTCTAGGCCTAGGGACTGGGCAGGTTCCCCAAACCCCTCCCCTCACTTTAAATACAAAAATAAGAAACAAAGAAATCCTCTGGGGAGGGGAGACACGCCCCCCCCCCCCACCAGTTAAAAAAAAATAAAATAAGAAAACAAAAACTTGCATTTATGTGAATACAAACATCGATATTGTTTTAGTACAGTGCTGTGGACAGCCCTAAACTGCCTAAACAGTGAGTAGATGGAAGTGGACCTGGGGGAACCTCCAAGACTTCTTCCTGTACAGGTCTAACTCAACTCATTCTTTTGGCCTTAAACCAAAACCATAAGTATCTTTTATCTAATAATTGGTACCAACCACTGGTACTGGTTATCGAAATGAGGTACAAGTAATAAGTAAGTATAAGTATAACGCTGTGCCCCATGCCATGTCGTAACGTCCTTTATCCCGATTTTAATAACTATAACGACAACGTCCTCATTTCAATAAAACTTTATTGCCCTACCTTTAAATGACCTCGATCCATCTCGTCCAGCAACAACTGAGAAATTATCAGACTTACTGTAACTCATGGTCGACTGTATTTTAAAGCCAATAAATCATTTAAGTACTCAGAATCTGTTGCTAAATATGGTAGGGGAAAACCAAATATGGCAGACACTTTTACGATTATGACTATTATCGTATCCGTTATGAAATAATTTGAACGATATTTTATATTTGTCTCCATCCTTTAAGTGTGGGATGGATAATTTATCAATTATTTAAAGAGGCATTTTTATATATGTATATATATTATTGTTTTTGAAATAGACTAATTAAGTTGAATTTTTTAAAAGTATTTAATAAATAAATTGGAAATAACTAAATAAGTATCGAATACGAGGATGTGACTTAATTGGTCAAAATGTTATGTCAGTATCGGTCATCGGTGTTACCAAAATCGGGTGACGCCAAATGCCGAAATAAATATAAATTAAATTACACCATAATGCTAATTTTTAAATATAACAAATAGCATTAGTTGCATGGTAACAATGCGGAAATCTTCCATTACCTAGATCTGGAGTTTTTAAACCTTTTTTGCATCGTAAGGTAATGCTGCGTGCAATTTTGATTTGAAAATATTTCCTGCACCCCTATTCCTATCTCGATTTCTAAACGTATTTCCCGCACCCCTACGATAAGCAAAATGTTAATGCAATGCTACTTGAATGCAAATAAGCCTGATTTTCTGTGATTACCCCCCCCCCCTTTTTTTTTTCTCCTGACACCGCTTTAAGTAATAAACCCTGACCATTTGCGCCCCGCAAGACGTTCTTTTGCCTGACAGTAAAGTATAGTTTTAATACAGCCCGCGCGTTTTCCCCTTTCTTATATCTTTAATGTGACCCTCTACGATGATTTTAGTCGAATCTCAACAACTAGTCTAATTCTGATTTTTATTGTGTTTGTATAGATTTGGACGTTGATTATAATGTAATAATGTTAAAAACCGTTTAAAATTGGAGTAAAAGTATTCGCTTTAAAGCATTTTATGAGATAAACATGGCTAAAGTTCGGTTTTGAGAAAAGTTTAAAAAATCAGTTAGGGGTCGTTCGCAAATTACGTCACGCTCGGGGGGGGGGGGGGGGGGAGGTTTTGTAAACTTTT